CCGTTTTACCTGAATTACGGACAAGACCCAACAGTACCCATGACCCCAAATCCCGACAACCCCGTTCCACGTGCACAACAATTCGCTGAGATTTTGCAAGCAGTAAGCACCAGGGCAGCAGAAGCAATAAAAAAATCGAACATCATCGCTAAACGCAACGCCGACCGCCACCGCAGACCTGTCACTTATCAGCCCGACGACCTCGTTTTACTCGACACCCAAAACCTCCGCCTGCCCGTCACTCCAAAACTCCGCCCCCGATACTGTGGGCCATTTCGAATTAGCCACATGATCACACCGGTCAGTGCACACCTCCTCCTCCCTGCTGACTGGTACGTCAGCCCCTCGTTCCACGTCAGCTTGCTTCGCCCCTACGTACCGTCCGCCGGCCAACTCCCACGACATCGACCATCCAGCATGACACGACCACCATCCGAACCTATCATCACCCCCGACAAAATCCTGAGTCACAGAGTTCGCGACCCCCGAGGAGCTCGAAAGATCGAGTTCCTGATCCGCTGGAAAGACCGAACACCTACCGAGGATAACTGGGTTCCCCTGGACAGAATTGAAAACCACCCTGTCCTCACCGAATATCTGCGCAGCCGAAACTTCGAAGACGTCCACGCACTTTCGTAAGAGGGACCTCCTTAGGAGGGGGGGTAGTGTAAGGAAAATCCCTTTTCCTTACTTCGCATCCCTGCTCAACGCGTACATCACTGTAGCACCTCAGTCAGCACTGTTACCACTCGCGATCATCGCATCGACAATCATCCCGCCATTTTCGCACATCGCATCCCGACCTCACGGCTCGGCGGGTAACCCGCGCCCCGGGCCTACGCTTCGACATTTTCCCAACCTCAGTCCCAGGCTCGTCGCGCGACAACCACAGTCCATTACCGTTACCACTGTAGTTTCGCTATATATTCTTCGCTCATGCCTTCGCTCATTGTATTCTTGCTTCGATAGTGCAATTCTCGTTCGTTCACTCAATTGCACTCGTAACACAACCAATCAAATGAATCACTCTTATCACACTAGCTGAAATGGTTGTGATGATTGGAAATTTTTTTTTATAGATCTACGAATACAAGTCAGTACGGTATCTGGTCTTGATTAACTTACATAGTGCGTGCAAAGTACATGAATCTAAAGAATGTGATTACAACTTGTTGGAAACAATCGATCTTAAGCGCCTCTGTCGTGTCCAAACACTAAGGCACAAACGAAGCGAAGCATATCGAATCACCGGCGAGTCAACCCTCGGAGGTTGAAAGTAACTATTGGAGGTTACGTGAAAGTCAAAGGTCAGCGACCTTTGACCTGACAAGTACAGCGCGACAGCAAGTACACACAACTGACTCGCTACAGAGCAGTTGCCCGAGTCGTCACTGTATCGAATCGCAACAGCAACAGTAAAGTAGTTACAACCGCATCTCTTCGTATTCCTTGTACTCTTAAATAATCTTGTATCTCTCTTTTTTAATCAATCTACTTTGCCCTCACATACTAGCGCAAGGTGGTTCATTATACTTCATTAAACGCTTCCGCAATTACATCAGTCTTACCCAGAGTTCACCCCTGCAAAGATCCTAAGGGTTTTCTCAACCCAACACAACTAAGTCCGACGATACAATGAAAGTAACGGGGTTAAACGGGGAGATTCCTACCTAGTTGGAGACGTTGGGCAAAGATGGGTCGGAAGGGTTGCGATTGGTGCGGGGTGACTCAGGTGAGAAGAATTGAACGAGAATGAATGAACTATGAATGAAGTGAGTACAAATAGGAAACCCTAATTGAGTTGTACCCCCTATGGGATACCCCACTATAGCCTACACAAATGAGTAAGCTATAATGTTCTGACACACCCCCATAGGCAAAGTGGGGGAGAACAAGGGGTCACAAGACCAGTCAAGCAAAGCAAAGCAAAGCTCAGGGTGGATCACAAAGTCACCACACATTCCGAGCACAAGTTCAAGGGCCACAAGGCCAGTTCACATGCAAGATCATATATAGAGATATACAAGAGTCAAGCAAGCAAGAGCAAGAGTATATATAGGTCAAGGTACAAGCAAGGTCAAGAAGTGAGCAAGTGAGGCAAGCACAAGACCCAGCTGCGTGCAGCAACGCTGATGATCACAAGGCGCAAGTGCCTTGGTGAAGACATCAGCAGTGTTGGCCTCAGAGGCCACGTACGCAAGTCGCAACTGTCCACGCTGCTGTAGCTCACGAGCAAGAAAGTAGCCGAGAGCAATGTGCTTTGTCCTGTGCTCCAGTCGCTGCTCTCGACACAAGGCCAGCATGGCCTTGTTGTCTACGTACAGCACTGGAGGAGAACGAGGCGGCTCTCCAAGGTCGGTCAGCAGGTAGGTGAGCCAGCGAAGCTCCTGAGCAGCCATAGCCCCGGCGTAGATCTCAGCCTCATAACTGGAGCCGAGAACAGAAGACGAGCGGGTAGCCCGCCACGAAACAGAGCCGGAACCAAGGCTGAAGGTGTAACCCTGTGACGACCGCTGCGTAGCCTGGTCGTCAGCCCAAGAAGCGTCCGCGTGCCCAGTGAGGACCACTGGACTGCGCCCTCCAAGCACTAGCCCCATGCCCGACGTACTGCACAAGTAGCGCAACACCCTCTTCGCGGCAGCCATGTGCTCTGGTCGGTGTCTCCTAGGAGCAACATAGCGTGCGAGAATGCTAAGAGGGTATGCAAGGTCAGGTCGTGTGTGCGGAGATAACTACAGCAACGAGAGCTAGGCTACGGGCTAGGCACGTGTGCTCGTGTGATCTTTGCGTTCTCTGTTCCTTAGTCGTTTTCCTTGTGCGCACACTACTTGCTAGTTCACGGGGAAAATTGGCAAGAGTTTCACTAGGAAAAGTTCAGAACAATTGGTACAATGAAGTTGGCATAGCAAGACTACATCAGAGCAAGCATTCAGGTCGGCCAACTGCCAGCGCAACTTGGTCGACCGCGTTCCAGCACGACTTGGTTGGCCGCACTCCAGCAAGGCAAGGTCGATGGCGTGCCAACGTTGCAGGACAGCAGTGCACCTGCTTCACAGGTGCGCACAGATGATTGGCGTGCAGAGTCCTGTCACCTCTGATCCGCCACGACGACCTCGGGATACCACTACCGAGGTCGGTCTCGCCAACTTCGCCTGGGAGACCGTCGCACTCCCAGGTAACCTAGTCGACCGGGCAACCATGTCGACCAGCAGCTCCCGTACGTGCCCGTCGACCTCCCAAGTCGACGACCACCTCCACGTCGACCCCCTCCAGGTCGATGTCCCCTCCGGTTGACCAACTCCATGTCGACCAGTACTCCTGGTCGACCTGCTCCTCGTCGACCAGCATAGTCGTCGGCCGACCACCCACGTCGGCCACCCGAAGTCGACGTCACCAAGTTGACGTCCTCTGCAGGTCGACTCCCAAGTCGACCTCCCTGAAGTCGGCGCCACCCTAAAGTCGGCGCCCGTGCAGTGGTCCCCCGTGCAGGTCGACCTCCTCGTCGACCAGCTCACCCACTGCTGCAGGTCGGCTGCTCCCCTCACACCCGACCACGAAGTCAGCTCCGCCCAAGTGAGGACGGGGCCAATACCCTACTCCCGTTGACACTCCCCTGCCGCGTTCACGCTTGGGCACCCAGCCCACACGGCAGTACAGCTCGGAGACTAGCTCGTCGACGTGCACCCAACACATAGCACGTCGTCCACCGCACCAGCCATGCAAAAGGGCATGGCACCTACTGCTGCACGTCGTTGTCGCCGTCGCCCACGTCGGCCAAGCGCACTTGGCCGATTGCGACGGAACACCGGTTGAAGGCCGGATAGTGCAGCGCCTTCGTCAGGAAGTCGGCCGGCTGCTCAGCGGTCGGGATGTACTACAACGAGAACTTCCCGCGCCTCACCATGTGCTGCAGCCAGGCCTGTCGCCGTTCCATGTGCTTGAGGTTGCCCGTCAACCCCATGCCCTCGGCGACTGTGATGGCCGACTTGTTGTCCACGCGCAGGACAGTCGGCTTCCCGGCATCCAGCTGCAGGAACTCTGCGAGGAGGAAGCGAAGGCGGCGTCCCTCCTTGCCAGCTTCAGTGGCCGCCACGTACTCCGACTCGGTCGATGACGGTGTCGCGCACTTGATGCGCTGGCTCGACCAGGAGACTGCAGCCCCTCCGTAGACGAACACGTAGCCGCTCGTGCTCGTCCGGTTCTGCTTGTCACCGGCGTCGTCGGCGTCCACGTAGCCGACCAGCTCCAGCGACTCAGGTCCACCGCCTAACTGCAGGGCGGTGTCACGTGTGTTGGCGAGGTAGGCTAGGCAGCGGTCGACCTTGCGCCAGTGCTGGTCGCTCCTCACCGTGAGGCCGCTCCCCAGCTTGCTGCAGGCGAAGGCGACATCCGGTCTCGTCGTCGTCGCCGCGAACTGCAGCGAGCCGACCTTCTGCCGGTACTCCTCCTCCTGCCGTTCCTGCGCCTCCTCGTCATCGAAGGTAAGCTCTGCGTAGGCACCGACCGAGACCGGTGTCTTCGGGGTGCGCCCGGTCTGCTCCTCGTCGAGGAAGCGCCTACGCAGCTTGTCGGCGTAGCCCTGCTGATGCAGCCACTGTCAGAATGAGAAACGAGAATGAGGAGTGACTAGCAGGAACAACAGTACAAAAATGTCAAACCCTAATCTGGTGTACCCCTTATGGTGTGACCCACTACAGCCTAGAACCACACAAACATATAAATGTTTGACACACCCCCATAGGCAAAGTGGGGGAGACCTAGGGGTCACAAGACCAGTCAAGGCAAAACCAAGGCAAACAAGCTCAGGGTGGATCTCGAGGATTCCACACAAATTCCGAGCACAAGCAAGCGGTCACAAGACCAGTTCACATGCAGTTTTATAATAGAGCAAGAGGTACAATGATCACAACCTAACAAGGCAAACATGCAGGTATATATATAATGATCACAGTACAGGTAAAGTCAAGAAGTAAGTAAGTGAGAAACAGTCGGCACAAGGCCTAGAAGAGTGCAAAAACGGGCGGAAGCGCCTTGGTGAACACATCAGCAGTGTTGGCCTCAGTGGCCACGTAACGCAGAAGAAGCTGACCACGCTGCTGTAGCTCTCGAGCTAGAAAGTAACGCAGAGCAATGTGCTTCGTCCTGTGCTCCAGTCTGTGCTCCTGGCACAAGGCAATGGTTGCCTTGTTGTCGACGTACAACACTGGAGGAGAACGAGGCTGCTCTCCAAGGTCAGTCAGCAGGTAGGTGAGCCAGCGAAGCTCCTGGGCAGCCATGGCCGTGGCGTAGATCTCAGCCTCACAGCTGGAGCTGAGAACAGAAGAAGAACGAGTAGAACGCCAAGAGACAGAGCCAGAGCCAAGACTGAAGGTGTAACCCTGAGACGACCGCTGAGTAGCCTGGTCGTCTGCCCAAGAAGCGTCTGAGTGCCCAGTGAGAACAGGCCGGTCTCGCCCTCCAAGCACTAGCCCCATGCCCGACGTACTGCACAAGTAGCGCAACACCCTCTTAGCTGCATCCATGTGCTCCTTCCGGTGACGGCCGGGAGCAACATAGCGTGCTAAGATGCTGAGAGGGTATGCTAGGTCAGGTCGAGTGCAGGTCATCAGGTACATGAGGCAGCCCACAAGCTCTGGATACGGACCACTCGACTCTACGGACTCATCCGAAGGCAGAGCTGAGAGCGAGTGACCCGTAGGCAGAGGAGTGGACTGAGGCGAGGAGTACGTGAAGCCGAAGCGCTGAAGGACCTGCTGCACCATGTGTGACTGAGTCAGGGTAATGGTGCGGCGTGCTCTGTCCCGGGTGATCCGCAAGCCAAGATAGCTTGTCAGTTCACCCAGGTCTGTGCACGTGTGTCTCTTCTGCAGCTCGGACTTCACGTGGGCGAGTGCGGCAGTGTCCGCAGTGGCAAAGACCAAGTCGTCGACGTACACGAGGATGTAGAACGGCGGCAGCGAGGTGTCGGTGCGCAGAAACAGCGACGGGTCAGCAGTAGAAGGAGCAAACCCAAGAGCCGCAAGTGTAGTCCTCAGTGTGTCGTGCCACTCACGCGGCGCCTGGCGGAGACCGTAGACTGGCCGCCGGAGGCTCCACTGGGTGCCAGGAGGGAACGACCCAGTGAAGCCAGGTGGGCGGCGCAGCCAGATCTCCTCGTGCAGGCTGCCCTGCAAGAAAGCTGTGCTGAAGTCAAGAGAGTGGAGCTCGTAGTCACGCTGAGCGGCGACGTGTAGCAGAACCCGAAGAGTGGTCATCTTCGAGGTCGGGGAGAAGGTCTGGAAGAAGTCAACTCCCTCTCGCTGACTGAAGCCTCGTGCAACGTAACGCGCCTTGAAGACAGGCGGAGAGCCTGGCGGCCGCTTCACCCTGAAAATCCACATGCCACTGACGATGTTCGCCCCAGGTGAGGGAACGTCGTCGACGTAGGTGCCTGTGGACTTCCAGGAAGCCATCTCTGTGTCCATGGCTGACTGCCACTGAGAGGAGTAGGGACCGGCCATCGCCTCTGCGTAAGAGCGTGGGGTCGGGATGTCTGGTGCATCCGGGTCTCCCTCAGGGGCAAAAAGCATGGACACGAGATGGGGCAAAGCAGCGGCAAGGCAACCAAACTCCTCCTGCCTGTCCTCAAGGACGTCCGTGCCAAGAGCACACTCACCCCCGACGGACGGAGGACAGGCAGACTCAGACTCAGCAACAAGACTCGCTGCGTAGTCTAGACGACACGCAGCTGCAAAGTCGACAAGCTCAGTGACTAGGGCAGACGCAGCAGCGGACTCAAAGGAAGGGTCAGTGACAACCGTAGCTAGGAGACGTGTGACAGTAGGACTGGCAGCGCGAAGGGAGTCTGACTCCGGGTCAGCAAGAGCAGGAAGAGAGGACGCAGGAGGCAACGTGAGAGCAACACGCTGCGGAGCAGTGGACTGACGAAGCGCCATCCGGTGCGTGCCTGGGACAGCAGGAGGACGCTCACGCGGGACACGACTACCAGTGGTAGCAGCTCAAACAGGCGACGCTCGACGAGACGCAGGTGACACAGGACGTGACGCAGGCTCACGTCTCTCAGCAAGACCGTCAGTCGGACCAGTGTAAGGAGCAGGCACAGGGAGTGGTGAGGCAGGCGGTAACTGTGGCTGTGACTGGACAGACGGCGGACACTCTAAGGCGAGAGGAGAACAAGGAGGAGGAGGCTGACCAAGAACCTGCTGAAGGAGCGGAACGAAGTACGGTCGTGGCCGTGCAGCAGCTCTCGAACCAGCAGAGACACCAGCGGCAGCAGCAGCACCTCCAGAAGCAGCAGCACCTCCAGCACCAGGGTCCGCAGCACCTCCAGCAGCACCTCCAGCAGCACCGCCAGCAGCAGCAGTACCTCCAGCAGCACCGCCAGTAGCAGTTGCACCTCCAGCACCAGGGTCCTTAGCACCCACAGCAGCTCCAACGCCCGGGTCCTCAGTACTAGCAGCACCTCCAGCAGCACCGCCAGCAGCAGCAGCACCTCCAGCAGCACCGCCAGCAGCAGCAGCACCTCCAGCACCAGGGTCCGTAGTACTCGCAGCAGCGTCAACTCCGGGGACCCCAGCACCAGCAGCTCCACTACGGAGACTGATGTGCCGAGCGTACCACTCTCGAAGCTGAGGGGAAGAGGGCGGCTCCCGCCGTGGTGGGGAAGCACGAGTACCAACTCCAGCAGTACCACGAGCCCGAGACTCACCCCGCCGGAGGCTGCAGTACCGCGAGTACCACTCACGCAGCTGCTGCGAAGAGGGAGGTCCTCCAGGCGCCTCACAGTCAACTGCAACACCACCAGGCTCAGCACCCCCAGGCTCAGCAACTCCAGGCGCAGTACCCCTAGACTCAGCAACGCCAGGCTCAGTACCCCCAAATCCAGCACCCCCAGGCTCAGCACCCCCAGGATCAGCACCCCCAGGCTCCGCCCGCTCAGGCTCCGCACGCTCAGGCTCCGCACGCTCAGGCTCAGCACCTCCAGCAGGACGCGAGACGACAGCTACCTCGGCAGGCTCAACCGGGTCTACCTGAGAGACACCTGAGGGAGCGGCACCCTGAGGGGGAAGGGGGTCTACCACTGCAGCACCTGGCGCGAGGAAGAGAGGCGGGGGAGGGAGCGGGGCAGTGCGGTAGGGGAAGAGGCGGTAGAAGGGCACGGACTCGTCAAAAGTGACGTCCTGAGAGGGGAAGACTCGGTGCGAGGCGGGGTGGTAAAACTGCCAGCCAGACGCATCCGGGACAAAGCCAAGAAAGACACAGGGAGCAGTGCGGGAGGAGAGCTTGTCCGCAGACGTGTCGCGAACAAATGCTCGGGATCCCCAGACACGGAAGCGTGACGCATCGCCAACCTCCCCCGTCCACAGCAGTGTGGGCGAGGTCTCCGGAGCGGAGACACGGGGCAGAGGTTGAGCTGATGCGCAGCGTACCGGACCGCAAACGGCCACAGAAAGTGGGGGGCAGCCGCGTGGACTAAGGAGGTACGAGCGACCTCCATGACCAAGCCAATGCGGCGCTCAGCAACCCCATTCTGCTGTGGAGAGGCCGGGAGCGTGAACGACTGGCAAATGCCATGCTCGGCACAGTAGGCTGCCAAGAGGTCGGAGGAGAACTCGCCACCTCTGTCAGAGTGCAAGCGCAGAACAGGAAACTCCGAGCGAAAACGCTCTCGCAGCTGAAGACGTGCTCTGCTGATCCAGGGGATCAGAACATTAGGGACTTCACCCTTGGTGCGCAAGGGGAAGACCGTGGTGTAGCACGAGTAGTCGTCAACGACGATCAAGAAGTACCTCTCCTGGCCCTGACCACGGACGCGGGCTGGGCCCCACACGTCCATGTGGAGCGTCTGCAAAGGAGCAGTCGTCGGGGGGAACGAGGAGGAGTGAGGGGCAGCGCGCTGCCGCCCCTCGACACAGGGAAGACAAGGAGGAGCAAGGGAGGGTGGGAGGGGAGGGAGTACCCGAGGAAGACCAGAGACAAGGTACCGGGCCTGCATGCCCCGAAGGCGCTGCACTGACGGGTGACCAAGTCGGTGGTGCCAGAGGACAGTCTTGTGCGCTAGAGAGCGACACGAGCAGGGGGCAGAGAGCTGACCTGACGCAGACGCAGACGCAGACGCCGCTACCTGAGGGGACTCAGTGGTCAGTGTGTACAGGTCCGACCCCGGCTGCCGAGTGAAGGTAGCCAGGTGACGGCCCGTCCGAGCACACGTGCAGTGTGTCACACGCTCGTAGGCAGGGGTGAACTGGTGAACACCCCCATCCTGAAGCGCACAACCCGCCACCAGGTTCGTAGAGAATGAGGGGAGGTGGAGACCTGACAGTGTGCCCGACGGGACAGCAGGACAAGGAAGGAGGGTGGAGGAGGTCGCAATGACCGGACCCCCAGAGGGGTCAGCGAGCGAGACAGCTACTGGTCGAGCAAGGGGCTCAAGAGCAGTGCGGTCACGAAAGAAACAGCGTGAAGCGCCTGAGTCTAGAGTGAAGGTGTGCAGTGCCTCAGTGGACTCAGTAGCACCTGGGGTGGCGGACACACACGCACCTAGAGCAGTAGCCTCACCAGTACCTGGGGCAGCAGACACGCAAGCACCTAGGGCGGTAGCCTCACTCGTGCGGATGCCTGGGTCAGGCGGAACACTCAGGTACTGGTCCTCCTCTCCACTAATAGTCAATGCATACATTGCTTTGAGAATAACATCAAAATCAAGAGCATAGATATCGATATCCTTCTTGAGGAGATCAGCCCACTGAGGGAGCTCAGGAGCGTCAGGAAACTGAGCACGCCAAGCGTCATCTAGGCGAGAGAAGCAGCGCTGCGAAGTGTGCGCCCTCCCGCACGTCTGTCCCTTGCGGCGACCAGTGCGGATGACGTACGTGCAGCTAAGGCTACCCCCCCCCACCCCCGTGCTGTAAGTACCACTCACGAAGCTCCTGGGAGGACTGAGGGTGCTGCGCGCTCTGGCCAGTGCCAGAGCCTCCACGACCACCACCGCCGCCTCCACCACGACCACCACCGCCCCTGCCGCCGCCACGTCCACTGCCACCACCACCACCGCCCCCACCGCGGCCACCGCCACCGCCGCTGCCTCCACCACCTCCACCGCTGCCACCACCCCCACCACCACCTCCCCCGCCGTCACCCCCACCGCCCTTGCCTCCCCTGCCCTTGCCGCTGCGGCGCCCGCTGGGAGCGGACGCAGAGCCGACCTGCTCAGCACCAAGAAGGTCGACAGCAGCAGCAGAGGCGACAGAGGGGAGGAGGGGGGAGGGGGAACACCCCTCGAAGAAAGGGGTGTGGGGGTCGCCACGAGAGGCACCTACAGCTACAATACTCTTCTCAGCTGCAAGTAGTTCCTTCTCTAGGGCGGCAATGGTGAGCTCAGTGGGACAGCGAGCTAGGAAGTGGTCCCTGACTGTACGCAGAGTGTTAGGGAGGCGGGTGACTAGGTGGTAGAGAGTAAGCCAGAGCGGGGGAGGGTTGGAGGCAAGAAACTCAGCGGGCATGGCTGCACGGAAGCGGGCATCACTAGTACGAAGGTGAGTGATGAGGTCAGCGACTGTCTGGAAAGCGGATAGGTCGGGGAACAGGTAGGGAAGGGAGAGACGGCCTAGTGCAGCTGAGGCCGGGGAGGAGTAGCGCGCAACTACAGCAGTGTACAGGGCCTGCGCAGTCTGATGCTGGCCGAAGTGCTCACGCTCATCGACTGGCAGGGAGTTGCGAATGGCAAAGCGGGCGTGGGCATCGCGAGTCTGCCACTGCGAGCGATCAGTAGCGGTAGCAGTAGTAGCAGGAGCAGGGACTGTGCCTAGTGCGTGATCGTACAGCGAGATATCCTCTCTGGCAGTGAGCTGGAGGAACAGGTGCAGATCATCGAGCCAGGTATCAAACTTAATCGGGCGGCCCTCAGAATCGAACGAGAGAACTGTAGGGCTAGCCATAGCTGAAGTAGCAGTAGCAGCAGTGGTGGTAGTAGCAGTAGCAGTAGCAGTCGCAGTAGCAGTAGCAGTGCTGTGCACAGGTAAGTAGGGCGCGGCTCGGCTAGGGCGGCGCGGCTCGGCTAGGGCGGCGCGACTCGGCTAGGGCGGCGCGACTCGGCTAGGGCGGCGCGGCTCGGCTGGGGCGGCGCGGCTCGGCTGGGTCGCGCGGTTCGGTTCGGGTCGCGCCGTGCGGCTCGGTCGTAGAGGGGCGAGCGCGGGAGGGCCGGTCGGGGCTAGCGCGGGGCCAAAGGGGGGGGGCCGTGAGAGGCTAGCGCGGGGCCTGCAGGGGACGTGGGAGGCTAGCGTGGGGCCTTAAGGGGCCGTGAGAGGCTAGCGCGGGGCCTGCAGGGGCCGTGGGAGGCTAGCGCGGGGCCGACGGGGGCCTTAGGAGGCTAGCGCGGGGCCGATCGGGGGCCTTAGGAGGCTAGCGCGGGGCTAGCGTGGGGCGGACAGGGGCTTAGGAGGCTAGCGCGGGGCCGAGGGGGCCTTAGGAGGCTAGCGCGGGGCCGATCGGGGGCCTTAGGAGGCTAGCGCGGGGCCGATCGGGGGCCTTAGGAGGCTAGCGCGGGGCTAGTGTGGGGCCGACGGGGGCCTTAGGAGGTTAGCGCGGGGCCGATCGGGGGCCGTGAGAGGCTAGCGCGGGGCCATACGGGGCCTTGAGAAGGAGGCGCTCGAGGCGCAGGAAAAAGAACGGCGGCGCACGAGGGCGCGGCTAGCGGAAACGGTGGGCCCTATCGTTTCGGTCCTAGGTGGAACCTAGGCTCGTAATACCATGTCAGAATGAGAAACGAGAATGAGGAGTGACTAGCAGGAACAACAGTACAAAAATGTCAAACCCTAATCTGGTGTACCCCCTATGGTGTGACCCACTACAGCCTAGAACCACACAAACATATAAATGTTTGACAGCCACAGCTTCCCAGCCGACCTGTCGCGCACGATCTCCAGCCCGAGGTACTTCTGCACCGGCGAGATCTCGCGCAGCTCGAAGGCGGCTTCCAGCAGCTCCTTCAGCTCCTTCAGCATCGCGGCGCTGCTGCTGGCGGCAAGCAGGTCGTCGACGTAGACCAGTACCCAGCAGGCCACTCCACCCTCGCCGACCTTGAAGTAAAGAGCCTCGTCGACCTGGCTCTTCTTCCACCCGGCGCCGACCAGCACATCGTTGAGCGCCAAGTACCACAACAGCGGCGACTGCTTCAGCCCGTACAGGCTCTTCAGCAGCTTACACACCCGGCCGGTTCCGTCGTTGAAGTAGTCCGGCTGAGACATGTACAGCACCCGATCGAGCTTGCTCTGCAGGAAGGCGTTCTTCATGTCGAGCTGCATCAGGTTGAGGTTGAGGACAACGACGATGCTGAGGAAGATCCTCAGCGTGACGTAGCTGCTCACCGGCGCGAACGTCTCGTCGTAGTCGGCGCCGTACTTCTGTGTGAAGCCCTTCACGACCAGCCTCGCCTTCTCTTGCTCGACGGTGTCGTCGATGTGGTACTTCGTCGTCAACACCCACCGGTTCTTCATGACGTTCACCCCCGGCGGGCGTTCGACCAGCTCCCAGGTGCCCATGTTGATGAGGCTGCGGATCTCCTCCTCCATGGCGGCCTTCACCGCCGGGCCCTTCCAGCTCGCCAACGCCTCCTTCACCGTCATCGTCGAGATGTCCCAACGGTGCTCGGGGTCAGCTAGCATGTCGGGGTCGAGCTCCGGAAACTCCTCATCCTCCTCGGCGTCGTCGTACAGCAGGTCGTCGTCATCGTCCACGTCATACACTGTGGTGAAGGCAGCGGGGACGAAGAAGTCAGGCGGCCTCCGAAGTCGGCCTGAACGCCGTGGTCCTTGCTGGACCTCCGCGGCGTCCCAAGTCGACGACCACCTCCACGTCGACCCCCTCCAGGTCGATGTCCCCTCTGGTCGACCAACTCCACGTCAACCAGTACTCCTGGTCGACCTGCTCCTCGTCAACCAGCATAGTCATCGGCCGACCACCCACGTCGGCCACCCGAAGTCGACGTCACCAAGTTGACGTCCTCCGCAGGTCGACTCCCAAGTCGACCTCCCTGAAGTCGGCACCACCCTAAAGTCGGCGCCCGTGCAGTGGTCCCCCGTGCAGGTCGACCTCCTCGTCGACCAGCTCACCCACTGCTGCAGGTCGGCTGCTCCCCTCACACCCGACCACGAAGTCGGCTCCGCCCAAGCGAGGACGGGGCCAATACCCAACTCCCGTTGACAGTGTGCAGGTCATCAGGTACATGAGGCAGCCAACAAGCTCTGCATACGGGCCACTCGACTCTACGGACTCATCCGAAGGCAGAGCTGAGAGCGAGTGGCGAGTAGGCAGAGGAGTGGCCTGAGGCGAGGAGTACGTGAAGCCGAAGCGCTGAAGGACCTGCTGCACCATGTGTGACTGAGTCAGGGTAATGGTGTGGCGTGCTCTGTCCCGGGTGATCTGCAAGCCAAGGTAGCTGCGCAGTTCACCCAGGTCAGTGCACGTGTGTCTCTTCTGCAGCTCGGACTTCACGTAGGCGAGTCCAGCAGTGTCAGCTGTGGCAAAGACCAAGTCGTCGACGTACACGAGGATGTAGAACGGCGGCAGAGAGGTGTCGGTGCGCAGAAACAGCGACGGGTCGGCAGTAGAAGGAGCAAACCCAAGTGCCGCCAGCGTAGTCCTCAGTGTGTCGTGCCACTCACGTGGCGCCTGGCGGAGACCGTTGACTGGACGCCGGAGACTCCACTGGGTACCAGGAGGGAAAGACCCAGTGAAGCCAGGTGGGCGACGCAGCCAGATCTCCTCGTGCAGGCTGCCCTGCAAGAAAGCAGTGCTGAAGTCGAGAGAGTGCAGCTCGTAGTCACGGTGAGCAGCAACGTGCAGCAGTACCCGAAGAGTGGTCATCTTCGGGGTGGGGGAGAAGGTCTGAAAGTAGTCAACTCCCTGCCGCTGACTGAAACCACGAGCCACGTAACGCGCCTTGAAGACAGGCGGAGAACCCGGCGGCCGCTTCACCCTGAAGATCCACATGCCACTGACTATGTTCGCCCCAGGAGGGGGAACAGCGTCAAGGTAGGTGCCTGTGGACTTCCAAGAAGCCATCTCTGCATCCATAGCTGCCTGCCACTGAGAGGAGTAGGGACCCTCTATCGCCTCCGCGTAAGAGCGCGGAGTCGGGATGTCTAGTGCATCCGGCTCTCCCTCAGGGGCGAGCAGTACAGACGCGAGATGAGGTGAAGCGGCGGCCAGACACTGGAACTCCTCCTGCCTGTCCTCAAGGACGTCGGTGCCAAGGGCACACTCACCCCCGACGGACGGAGGACAGGCAGACTCAGACTCAGCGACAAGACTAGCGGCGTAGTCTAGACGACAGCGTGCAGCAAAGTCGACGAGCTCAGTGACAAGGGCAGACGCAGCAGAAGACCCGAAAGAAGGGTCAGTGACATCAGTAGCAAGGAGACGCGTGACAGTAGGACTGGCAGCACGAAGAGAGTCCGACGCCGGGTCGGCAAGAGCAGGAAGAGAGGACGCAGGAGGAGCAGGCAAAGGGGCACGCAGAGGAGCAGTGGACGGACGCAGAGACATCCGGTGCGTGCCAGGGACAGGAGGAGGACGCTGACGCGAACCGCGACCACTAGTGCGTGCAGTACGAACAGGCGACGCAGGACGAGACGCAGGCTCACGACGCTCAGTAAGACCTCCAGTCGGACCAGCGTAGGGAGAAGGAGCAGGCAAAGGGGAGGCAGGCTGTAGCTGTGACTGTGACGGGACCGGCTGTGGACCCTCTAAGGGAGGACCAGGAGAAGGTGTAAGACCAAGAACCTGCTGCAGGAGCGGAACGAAGTACGGTCGGGGCTGCGTGGCGTTGCCAGAAACAGCAGGGACAGCACCAGTACCCCCAGCAGGAGTACCCGCTCCAGCAGCACCTCCAGCAGCACCAGAACCTCCAGCAGCACCTCCAGGCATTCACTTGGAAGCCGATAGTACCACCCAGGAGTTCAAATTATACCACGGGAAGGGCGGCCTCTACATCGGAAAGGCGGTCCTGAAGAACAACGTCTTCGTCCTTGACTTCGTCCCAGACCTGGGCACCGCAGACAGCGACGCCATCGTGAACTTCGCCGACTGGACACACCCCCCGGATCTCGACCCCGACTTCAGCCCAGAGGGCTTCTGGTATTCGCATACCATCTCTGAAGCAGAACGAACACGCGCGCTAGCAACAATTCAACATTCGACAGCAGCAGAGACAACACCGGCAGTAGCAGAAACATCAGCAGCAGCAGCAGGACCAACCACACCAGTCCTCGTCGACGAAGCACCACCTACACCCGCACAACAGCTGAACCCAACTCAACGAGAAGTCCAAAGAAGCGCGAACTTCGTCGCCAGCTTCTACTCCAACTCCGACGCGTATCGACGCTCACCCGGACATCGCGCCTCCGAAGACATCTGGCACGCACGCATGGGACATCCAAGCAACACCGTGTTAAACAATACAATAAGAGCAGGAGTCCTAGACAAGGATTCATTACTACTACCCGACGGCAGAGAACTTCAACGGACACGAGGAACTTGCCTCACCTGCCCCGAAGCCGACTTACCACATCGACCGTTTACTCCTCACCACAACCCGAGCGCACCCGCGTACGCACCACTCGAGAAGGTGTACAGCGATATTCTCTTCAATCGAGAACCAGGACAAGTTACTTACAACTACACGATAACCTTCATCGACGCCGCCACTCGATACGTCTGGCACCTAAACCTACCCAGCCGCGACATGGCACTCGTAGCGTTCGCCGCCTGGCTACCAGTAGCAGAGAGAGAGTCGGGAGCACAGCTGAAAAGCTTCCAGTCAGACGGAGGAGGAGAATACACCTCTCAGCGCTTCAAGCAATACCTGGCGGAAAGAGGAATCAAGCAGCTCCTCTCCCTTCCCTACGCCCATCAGCAGCAAGGTGTCGCAGAAAGAATG